GGCAACAACAGTTAACACAACGCAACCAGCAGTTAACAGCAACAGCGCACATACTAACATCAGCAGCAACAGCAGTAACAGCAACAGCAGTAACAACAACAGTAGTAACAGCAACAGCAATAACAACAGCAACCGGACTAACAACGGCAGCCCCAACAGCAGCTAAACAAAAATCACCTATAACCTAATGTGTTGCAACAACAGAGCCAATAATCCCTCAATTACCACCTGTAAGTTATCTCGTAGCAAACCCGTTGTATACTCACTCACAGCGCAAAAAACCGACGCGCCGCGTAAAGGCAATTAATATATGATAATCATTTAAAAAATACGACTTTGGCAGTCCATAATGTTTGATTGTTCCACGATCATCGGCGTTGCCACCGTCCGGGAATAGATTATTGAATGATGAATCTATCTCGTAGCATCCTGAGATGACGGCAACTCAACGTGGTCGCCTAGCAAGCAGGAAAATTACCTGTTGAAGCTCTCGAACGTTATTGTCTGTGCGTTCGGTAGTGTGTGAGCTCGACTGATGTGCATGATATACTCTATATATATTATAATAATAGTATAATATCAGGAGTAGATTATAGACCCCTATATAGTGATGAGTAGATAATAGACTTCCCGATTTATCTACTCCTGATATATATTATATATATATATTAGATATATATATATATACTATATTAAATATGTGTTATATACTATAATAATATATATATATATATACTATATATATATATACGATACTATATATCATGTGCGTTGTGACTGCTGGTGTGCGTGCGTGCGCTGCGTGCGTGCGTGCCTCGCGTGCTGTGTGGGTAGAAGAGAGGAGAGAGTGGTATGGTGTGTGCGTGTGTGTGTGTGTGTCGGCGTGTGTGTGTGTGTGTTGTGTGGGTGTGTGTGTGTAGAGAGAGAGAGAGAGAGTGTTTGTTATGTGGGTGAGTGCGCGCGTGTGTGCAGCGCCAGCGCGCCGCGCGTCTGGTGTGTGTGTGTGTGTGTGTGTGTGTGGATACTGCATTTTTGGTGATATTTAGTCTGAGCTTGCGCCTA